AGAGTTACCTTCTCAAAAAAAAAAAGGAGCGTTGCAGTAGGTTGACAACCAATGTAAATTAATGTAGAATTAGTCTGACTGTGATCAAACCTCTAGAGCGGAATGGATACAAAAGATTTGTATAGCCGACTCCAACTTATTTGGGGTCGAGACGTAAATGGGATATGTTCCTGTTTGAGATGTTCTACATGCTTAAGAAATGCTTAAGAAAACATTAGGTTGTTCACTTAAGCAGATGTGTCCTAGTGCTTATTGGGAAAGAAATTATCTAGAACTGTTTACTCAAAGAAGTACTTAGCCTTCTTGTGTCCAAGTCATACTTTGATTTGCACCCCATAATGTGTCGTTCACCAATTTCAATTTTTGTACATCTTATCTTCATGTCCATGTTTCGGAACAGGAATAGAAAATGCGACTTTTAGATCCTTTTCTGGAGTATGTCTCTTCACTTAAGTTTTTGATTGAGCATGTCTTGTGTAATCTTTATCTCATCCGTATGACGAATATAGGTCTACCTCTTCTTCCGTGACCGAATGCAACTTTCGAATCTGCATGCTGACAGATATTTTATGTTCTGCTGTCCTGTATAAATTCGTTACAGGTCCTGGTTCAAGATTTTAACTGTGCGCTGCAAGAGAGTTTTCTACTTCAGGTAAATTTGAACTGGATGATGTTTCACATTTATACACATTAAAAAGATGATATTATACATGTATAGTTGAGCTTGTGGCTTCTTGAACCACCCTCCTTTCTAATCTGTAACATTTTTCCTTTCTTTCTAATTTGTTTACATGCTTTTATGCGTTGGTTAAGGTTTTACTGTTGTTACAGGGTCATATGTACCTCTTTGGCCATTATATTTGCTTCTATTCCAACCTCTTCGGCTTTGAGACAAAGGTTTGGTGCTCTGTTTTTTTCACTTTAATAATTTCACCTTTTATAAAGCCTATAGTTGATTGAGGTAGGGTTTCACTACTGATAAGGTGTTCTTCTCTGTACACGAAAATAGCTGAGATTTTGTCTGTTTCGCTTATGCAATTAGTTCGGAATCACGGGGTCAGGAAAGAGGTTGTGTGCCTGCGTGAGAAGGAAAATGCATATTTTGTTTTGTTTGGATTTGCTTTTATAACCTTGCTTAATTGAATTTCAAATGAAAGGCTTCATGTGATTCAAGGTAGAAAGAACAGGAAGGGAAGGTTCTATTTACTTAGAGCTAGATATGATTGGTCTGTATGAGGTACTTACGTGCTACCCACCTGAAATGGGTGCATTAGAGAGAGTAAAGATTCCACGTAACACTAGGAAGGGTTTGGTTCACACGTTTGATGTTTGGACTGATGTTGTACGGGGCAAAATGCGGGCCGGTCATGAACTCCTATATCCAGAAGATGAAAGTAGGATGTTGAGATGGATGTATGGGCATACCAGGTTGGATAAGATTAGGAATGAAGATATATGACTAAAGCACCCGTGAAGGACAAAATGAGGGAAGTGAGTCTGAGATGGTTCGAGCATGTGTAGAGGAAGGAGGGGCTAGCGGTTAGCTTTGGTGGGTATGAGAAGAGGTTGAGGGAGACGTAAGAAGTATTGGGGAGAGGTTGTCAGGGAGGACATGGCGCGGCTGCAACTTAACGAGTATGCCCTTGATAGGAGGGTGTGGAGGTCAAGAATTAGGGTAGAAAGTTAGTAGGTAGTCGAGCGTATTTCTGTTACGGACTGAGAGTATTAGGGTTAAATACAGTAGTTTTCTGCCTTAGGTTGCTGTATTTCATGATGTTTTCCTATTTTCTTCCGCTTCGGTCTCCTAGTACCCTGTTGTTGTTACTGCTTTTTGTTGCTACCGCTTCTTTTCATCTACTTCTGACTTTGTGATTGTTGTTACTATCTTTCTGACTTATTTGTTGATATTACTTGTTTTCACTGTTTCTTTTCTCTTTCTTGAGCTGAGGATCTATCGGAAACAACCTCTCTACCTTTTCAGGGTAGGCATAAGGTCTACGTACACAATACCCTCCCCAGACCTCACCTGTGGGATTCAATTGGGTTGTTGTTGTTGTTTGATGTTTGGACTGATATAACAGGATATAGGTTTTAGAAGGGATGTAGGCAAGGACGGTGATGGTATGACCTCTCATGTGTGGTGGGATGTCATATGGAAGAGAGAGATTCAAAAAGCTTATAGTGGAATGCTCTATTATCAGTCCATCTTAAGTAGTTTGATTTATATGAGAGTTTTGTGAATTGAAGGTGATGGATATTTGAACAACACAGGACCCTCTGTTTCCTATGTTTTCCTTTTTATCCCCCCTCCCCCTTAAAAAAAATTCTTTGTTCCGGTGCCATATACATTATTATTATTATTATTGTTTTGTGTTGCTTTCCTGCTTAGCCACTGTTGACATATTTTAGTCTCAATGCATAAAATTCTTGCTGCTATTGTTTGCAATAGGATGGTACACCATCATGAAGTCCTAAGAATGTGTTTAAAGGATTGCTTTGCCTGTATTTAATTGTTTAGCCTTGTTATTTAAGCTTTAAGACTGACTAATAAGCTTCATTCAATATTTACCAAGAATTATACTGCATGACCTGTGATGATAGCTTGTTTCCTATTGTTTCTCCTTTTTCTTTTGGACAAGTAAAAAGGGAATCAAGGAAAATATAGTAAGACAAATAAGAAAGTTCGTTTTTCTCATCTATTTTGCTATGCATTTTTACATTGATCCAAATTAAGTTATCAATGTCCATCTTCCAGAAAATAATACATTTTCATGAGATCACGTTAGTACGAAGAGCTAAAGCTGCGGCCATATTCCCAACGGCAATAGAAATAGTAGCCGGAGAAAAGAAGGTAATGTCCTGGATCTGTGATGCCATTTTACAATGCCATATGATCTTTTTTTTTTAAAAAAAAACATGCTGTATGCCATGTTAATGCTATATGCATGTTCTCCTTCTTTCAGATTAATACTTCCTCTGCAAAGTCTTGACTTGCCTTCTGTTAGTGCAGTACTTTTTTACATCTTTCCTGTCCCGAGATGAAGCTTTTAAGCTTATCAATGATGGTTGGCTACAACACAATGGTGCAGCGAAAGAGTCTACAGATCTGGTGTGTCGTCACTTACATAGCTTGGGAATTTATAAAATGTGTTTAGTCATGTTACAATATCGACACCCCCCCCCC